TCTTACTAAGTTGGTTTCTAATGGCTCAAGCAAACTCGGGCTTAATGATTTGGATTTGTTGTTGGCTAATCTTAGAAACTCGAAAGGGTTTGAACACCGGGTTCTTGAGTTTTTGCTCGATGGTTTCTATTTTGGCTAAGGAAACAGTTGGTTTTGGGGTAGGAGGAACAACTGTCTACCGAATATGGGATTCTATCCTAACAAGTTGTTTTCCTATGGTTTGAAGGTTTGTATTGGTAAAATTATTCTGTTGAATAATGGTATTAGACTTGGTTAAGTCGGTTTGTAGGAGAAAGGTTTCTCCTTTGGTTGATTGACGTTTGTGTTTTGAAGCAAAAGCGAGTTCATGGCCTTATAATGGATTTTTGTGATCAATGCAACCGGAATTGATCCTTCCATCATATTGTAATGTCCTCCCCGATGAATGGGTCCTCGAAGGAATAACCAAACCCGGATCTCTACCAATGCCCGAGATCCCAAAACCAAACACACAAATCGGATCTATAACTTAGCATATAGATGGGAGTGTTAGACTCTCATTTGACGGAATATTTACCGAGTAGTAGATTTTTAGATTTTGCCTCTAGTTCTATGACTTATGACCTAGGAAGATTTTCTAAAATTCCTTCGAGTCATAAATTTACCGGATGTTAGGAGAGATACGGACTTAGACCAAAGTCTACTATCTCTAAGATAACCATGTAGGTTTTTTACCTCGGATGTTCCTAACCTTGTTTTACAAAATGTTGATTATTGTACAAATATTCCAAAACCCGGATATTCAAATCAAGAAGATTCTCCTCCTTTATCTCCTACCGCTTCGCTATCATCGATAACATGGCAAATGAATGTTGCATTGTCCGATGATAGTTTTACGAGTAGATAAAACATATCTCGCAAAATGAATTTGGTTCTTCAAAAACTTTCCGGATAACAGGAAGATATTCAAAACGAATTTTATGAGTTTGTGAATGTTCATAAGATTCATATTTTGTTCTTTGATTGGTTTGAAATATATGTTAGTGATAATTTGATTGATTATCCCTTTGTTAAGAATTTGAACCTTGTTACCATCAAAAATAAAACTCATGTTTGGGAAGTGGAATGATAGATGATTCGATCGACCATTCTCCACGTAGGAAATTGACCTTCTCCCATGGAGAAACCAAAATAGAAGCTTGTCCTTACAAAATCCCAAAGATGATGACTTAGTTAACATCAAGAATATTGTTCAACATAATAATTTTACCAATACAAACCTTCAAATCATAGGAAAACAACTTGTTAGGATAGAATCCCATATCTAGCAGACAGCTTTTCCTCCTACCCCAAAACCAATTGTTTCCTTAGCCAAAATAGAAACCACCGAGCAAAAACTTAAGCACCTAGTGTTCAAACCCTTTCGGGTTTCTAAGACTAGCCAATAGCAAATCCAAACCAATAAACTTGAGTTTGCTCAAGCCATTAGAGACCAACTTAGTAAGATAAGAATATCTTCGGATGGTACTTGTAAGCAAATAACTCTTGAGACTCCCCAATCTAATAAGTGTGAATGTTTTAGACCAAAACTCGGAGACAGAATCCGTCCCCGAAATTAATAAGTTTCATTGGCCAAAACCTTTACCTATGATCACCGCCCTCGACATAGGAGAGATGCTAAACAAGTTAGCTCAACCAAGGTTCAATGCCTATTCCATTTACGAATGGAACATAGATGGACTTTTGGAGTATAATATCCTTAGTTTACTCCAACAAATGACCATGGCAGCTAACGCCTACAATCCAAAACAAGTCACCGTCTTAACCAAAGACCAAGACCTCATCTTAGATATTGTTAAGAAGATTGAGGATCCCCTGTTACAAAAGGAATACTTAGACGGACTCTTAAAGCCTATAAAAGACAAACCTCATGAAAAACCAAAACCTTCTATCTTGCCTTATATATATATATATTAGTTCAAAAAGATGTATTTGATTTATTGGATTTTTTTCTATAATATTATTTTTAAGTATTTTATTTAAAATAAATTAATTTTAAAATATTAAAAATAATTAATAGCAAATAGTTGATATTATGTGTGTAATGCTAATTAATTTTCAATAAAATCAATGATCTCGATATTTTTTTATATATCATGACCATAATGGGCTAGAGTGTGCAATATAAATTGAAAAATAATTTTTTTTTTTAAAAAAGACTTAAGTTATATAGAATATATTGAAATTAATACAATGCAATATCAACTTCTAAAATTTTTATTCTAATTTTTTTATCATATAAAAAAATAAGTAAAAAAACCATGTGAATTATATTACTTAATTAATTAGTTATTTAACAAAAAAATTTAAAAATCCATATATAGAGAAAAATAAATCATATTTATTAATAAATAAAATTATATAAAAAGAATAAAAAATTAGTTTGATGAGAATTTTTATAAGAAATGATAAATTGAAGAGATCAAATTTAAATAATATATATATATATTCTAAAATCTAAAAATATGAAGGGTCAAAAACATCTTTAAAAATACGAAGGACTAAAAATATATTTTGAAACAAATATGATTCCAAAATTGAATAATGTAAAAATAAGTTGACAAAATATTTTTTAAGATTAAAATGGAATAAAATGTAAAATTTGCCAAATTCCAAAAACTATAAAAAAATTACCAAAACTGCTACAAGCAAACGATAAAAAAATTACCAAAAAAAATTTGGAGAGTTGGCCTGTTACTTTTGTGTGTATTTTTCTTCTCTTATTGGATTTTACCAGGGGCGGCCCTCTGGGTGTTTGGCAATGGTTTGGAATTGATGAAAATATTTCTTTTAACGAATGGTATATTTTGTTGAATTGTGTAGGGTTTCAGTTTTAGTCAGAAAAGAATACCTTTTTTTTTTTTTGCGGTTATTATTTTAATGACTATCAAGAAATATGTTGCATGTTTGTTTCTTGAATTTATGTCATTTTCTCTCTCCAATTTCATTAATGAGGATTTTTTATTTTTTGCTTGGCAAGAAAATATTATTTATCATGATCGAACAATTAAAAAATGGATGTGAATCTGAGTATGCCATAATTGTATAAAAAATGTTTATAAATCGCAAAAAAACTTGAGGAAATTGTACAGCTGATGTGGAAACCTGGTGTAGTTTTCATCACTATAATTGGCGCTATTGATTCAACCAAGAGTTTATTTGAGTGGTGTTTTTTCTTTTTTTCGTGTGAAATTAATTTGCAGAAAGAAATTGGAGAGAGCTGAAAAACTTTACTACTTCAAATAATGCAATAGAAATTCAGTCCATCTACGTACGGACAAGACAAGTATCTTTAAGCATATTACCTCACTTTTGTGTACTTTTTCTTTGATATTTTAATATTTACTTTCGTGGATTGATAGGTTTAAGGTTGAAATAATTGTTGCTTTAATAATAAAATTTTCATTTTCTTAATTTTTGTATAAATGAAAAAGGAAATTCAATAATTTAAAGAATGAATTCAGACTGGGTGCATTTTAAAGTCTGAGTCTGAACCTTATCATAGAAATAAAGATAAACATTTCAGCAGTTTGTAGGGAGGCCAAGGTAAGCCTTCGACGCTGCGGTGGCCCTTTCAGGAAGAGGAACGCAAAAGCCCAAGTACCATAGACATATATTGTGGGCCCTTTGCTCGATAAATTTGCAAATAAGAAACTCTTGGATCTATAGTTAAAAGCTTTTATACCGATTAATGTTGGGCCTATTAAAGAAAACCTCCTACTGTCCTATACAAAGTTATTACAATAGCGCCTAAGGGCCAAGGAAGTCAAAAGTGCTATTAATGTTTTACTGAAAACTCCTTAATTATAAACTTACAGCCTAATTAAAAAACGAGTTTCTTTTTGCATTTGGTGTGTGTATATAAATACCATTAATTTATTTTATTTTTGTCATCACTCTCACATATAATTGTTTTCTTTCACTACGTTATAAAATAACACATATTATATTATTACAATGGATAATATTCCATACATTATTAAATAAAAATTATATAATTTAGTACACCTCAGAAGATTGGAAGGATAACGCAATCACTCGAGCGGTGTAACATCTGAACTTACAATCTTAATGAAATAATACAATACTAGACGATTTGTTATAATTAATTAAATTAATTTTTATTATCATGATTTTTTTCTTTACTTTTTTCCGACTATTTTGTATTTATAATTATATACCTTACAATAAAGATAATTTCTTATTTAGATCTTTTATAAACATTGGAGATAAAGATAAACCAAATTGTCTGATATTTGTAACAAAAAAATAATAATGCCAATTTCATCAAATATTTTGAAAAATCAGATAAATGTAAATAAATAATTGAAACTTTTGTAGGAGAATCCTCAGTAATATTAACATCATTTCCATTTTTTTTAAAAAGAAGATAAATTAATATAGTAAATTAAGATTCTGAAGAAGTGTTGATCCTGTATTTTTTTTTTAATGAGAATTTAGATACTGTATTTGTTGGTTGTGCTTTAACGTCTCACCACACCAGATTGGGTTGACGGCCAGCAATACCCAACAACTACTAACCGCTACCCCACCTTCACCACACAGGCCCATTTAAGTCATTTCCTAAAAAATCACCATTTTAAACCGCCAGAGCCGCAGACAGCACCGAATCATCATCCGTCAGGCAAATACAGTCATCCAGGGGCATTTTCGGAAATAAAGCAGATCTCCAATTCCCATCTCTCTTTCTAATTTAATTTCTATTATTATTATTATTATTATCATTAAATTAAAAGCAAACCAAACCAAACCAAACAAACGTCTTAATTCTCACTCAAATTTTGCAGTTTTATTTGGCTTTATAAATATCTCTCTCTTCCCCAATTTGCGGTCTGGTTTCTCGCTGAGGAGGAGGTGTTGCAGCAATTAGCGTCACCTCTTCGGAAACACTGTTCGCGTGTATCTCTCTTTAAATCAACAAAACTAATACCACTACCACCATGGCGTCGGAAAATTTCACCGACAAGAACTTGGTGTTTAAAAAACTGAAAGCGAAATCGGAAAACAAGGTTTGTGATTTATTTTGTTTTAGATTACTTTATGGATCTGATTCAGATCTGGCAATTGTATTATATTATTGGATCTGGTATTTATGATTTCGTCTGTTTGTTGTTAGATGTGTTTTGATTGTAATGCAAAAAATCCGACTTGGGCTTCAGTAACGTACGGGATCTTCCTCTGCATCGATTGCTCTGCTGTTCACCGTAGTCTCGGTGTACACATCAGCTTCGTTAGGTAAATTTAATTTCTTTTCTGCAGTTCTGGGTTTTCAGTTATCTGATTTTGTATTTAATTTAAACTCAAAACGACATTTTTTTTAAAGTAGAATGAATCTTGTTGATGTAGAGAATTGGTGCAAAATGTTTATTTTTTGGATCAGATAATGTGAAGTGAGAATTGTAGGTGATCGATTTGCAGATTAATCAATATGGTTTTGTTGTTTTTTGATGGGAGATCTTGTGATCATTGCTGTGAATACTAAGAAGAGAGCAATCCAATATCATTTATCTAATGAATGCTTCCTCTTAAACTATCCGGTATATTGTCAATTAGTTCAGACTAGGTTGTTGAGGTAGTTTTTGTTTTGTTTTTTTTTTTTTTTTTTAACTGCCGGATCTTATGGTAGTGTATGGATGTATGCTCTGTATGTCTACCGTTGCATTTTGGAAACAATGGCCATAAAATTTGGAATACTGTTGGTAGGATGTAAATAATGGCCGTAAAATTTAGATCTCAATTTTGGAAAATGTACTCTGGGTTTCTTTGTATGTATAAACTGGAGAGCTGTATTCTGACTCTAAACCAAGTATTGGCGAGATCTTTGCTGCCATTGGAGTTATATATCAAGTTAGTGAAAGCATGACAAACTTGTTTCTTAAAGACTCATTTGCACATGAGTTTTTTCAAGTTGTCTGCAGGTATGGATTTTTTTAAAATTTTGCTTTTTGTTTATGGAGAGAGAGATTTCAGGGTTAAAATTTCACTATCCTCCATATTTGTCTTTTGTTCTGTTAAATATCTAGTTGCACTGCCTTCTTTCTTTGCAATCAAGAGGATCTACAACAAGCAAGCATGTATTTCAATGCTCATACCTTCAAGTTTTTGTTATGTTAGTAAAGCATGCCATGTGTATACAGAGAGATGGAAAACTCAGTTGCTTGATGGTAGAGATTTTCCACTTCTATGCATGACAGTTTGTGTATATTCCCACAAAAATTACTTGCTTTTTTTATGTGAGGGTTGCATTAACTGGTAATTCATATAAGCTGAGAAACTACATGAGTTTCTCTTACAATTTTTTTTTTTTTTTGGTGTAGAATTATCAGTGGTGCAGAGCATTCCATGGATGTAAATTATTGTAGAATTTGAGGCCTCTCACTCTCTTTGTTGTTTTTGCACTTTTGCTAATGCCTGGGGCCATCTCTTTTCTGTTTATCCTCTTTTCGTCTAGCATTTCTTTTTTCATAAATGACTGTGTGATGCAATGTTATTTCCCTATTCATGTAGGTCTACAAATTTGGATTCATGGAGTCCAGAACAATTGAGAACAATGAGCTTTGGGGGAAACAATCGTGCTCAGGTTTTCTTTAAGCAGCATGGATGGACTGATGGAGGGAAAATTGAGGCCAAATATACATCCAGAGCTGCAGAGTTATATAGGCAAATACTTTCAAAAGAAGTTGCTAAAAGTATGGCAGAATATGCTGGCTTGCCATCATCACCTGTTGCATCTCAGTCAGCCCAAGCAACAAATGGACTTCCTGATGTCAAGATTAATGATGCTCCCAAAGAAAGCTCATTAGGAAAACAAGAAACACCTGATTTAGTTCATTCCCCGAAAGCTTCTCACACAGTTATTAGCAGTTCTGTGAAGAAGCCTCTTGGTGCAAAGAGAACTGTGAAAACAGGTGGACTTGGTGCTAGAAAGCTTACTACGAAGGTAGGCTTTTGCCTCTTTACTTTTAGAATTATCATCAATTATCTTAGAAGCATATTTCAGTTTGACATTTGTTACCTAGCCTTCTTCTTAGTAGTACAACCTTTTCAATTGCAGCCTAGTGAAAATCTCTATGACCAGAAGCCTGACGAACCAGCACTTCCTGTGCCTTCCACTACTAACAACAACAACACAAAAGCTGGCACATCTTTTGCATCTCGCTTTGAGTATTTAGACAATGTCCAGCCTGCTGAGCTGATTTCAGGTGGCACACAAATGATTAGTCATGTATCCCCGCCAAAGTCATCAAGCTTTTTTGCAGACTTTGGGATGGATAGCGGGTTTCCCAAGAAAGCAAGCTCAAACTCCTCAAAAATTCAAGTAAGCTCTTTAACATGTATTATATGCTTATAGTCAACCTAGAAAACTAGGTTGTACTTACACTGCCAGCAAAAATCCCACTAGTTAATGCAATATCACCTAACTGTGACTTCTCAAATATAGAGATTGCAGTCTTTGGAAGGATTCAGGTTATACCAGGCAAGAGTCTGAAAAATTGGATGTCAAAAATAATACTTAAATTTTTGGTTTCATCGGTGAATGGAGTTTTAGATTTTTAATTAGTTATATTTTAATTATCTTCCCAAATCTGGTTTAAATCTGTGGTAAATTGCTGCTGATCAGCATTTGTTTTTCCACACCATGATTCGGTGGTTAAACAAATTGAAGCATTTCATATTTTATTTTACATGTCTATGCAGAGTTGAAAGGGGGAAAACAAAGACATTTACTTAAGTAGCACAAATTTAGAGAGTTTAAAATTTGTGAGGAATGTGAGAAGCATTATGTCCTTCCATTATGTATTTACTAGTTGGTCTGCTAAATCATACATATCACTTTGAGTGTCTGAATTTCAGCAAAAACGAGGCATCAATAACATTTAGCTGGGATGTCTTACCCAAACTGGTTTAGATCGTCTCATAAGCTAGTGAAATTGAAATTTCTTTAAAAGTAGTGGGGTTAAATTTGCACAATACCTGTGCTTAAGCTGCCAATACTGCATCGTAATAAAATTGTAACGTTTAAGTGACTTTTCAATCTGTTTTTTATTTTTGAGCATGCAAGTCTAGATGTTGCAAATTATGTTTATCTAGTAAAAGAAGTAAGAGTTGTTAGTTCTCATGGAGTATTTGTGAAAAAGAAATAGTGACAACTCTGTGTTTTTACCTGTAACTACACAGTGGAGTTTTTCAAGTTATTTTATTTTTGTATTTCAATGTCAGTCTTTTGATTTCATTATGTTTTTTTGTTGGTATTATAATGAAGTCTTGAGTTGATGGGTTTCCTAATTCACTCATGTGCAAGTCTAGTGGTACTTACTCTTACATAAATAATTTTCTTGTTAGTATGATGCTGTCCTTTACTGAATAATGGGTATATTAAATTTGTATTTTACATTATAAAAGCGGTGTTTATATTTTGTTCTGAGATTACCTGTAACTCGTTCCTTTTCAATCAGAAGAATTAAAACATAATTGATTTTGTGTGAGAGTTCGTGTTTAAGAACCATGAAAATACATTTAACAGTATATGTAATATTTCTGCTGAAACCTTCTCTTTCAACTATGATCCTTCTACTTAAGAGTATTCCTGTGTCTTTGTGTCTCTAGCTGCGTATAAAAAGGATCTTGATGTTAGTGGTGTTTGTCTTGATCATCATCATTCTTTGTATAGTGTGTTTTTCATTATTTATTAGTATTTTTATCATTAATCACTTTGCTTGTGTTTTGGGAATTGCATGCGATATTGGAGGCATTTTGTCTGTTGTTATTGGAATTTGTCAGATGACACTTGTGATTTAGCTAACTTTGAATTTGCTTGTTTTGTTTCTTACTTGTTTGTCCTTAAATCCCATTATTATCAGATTCAGGAAACAGATGAAGCAAGAAAAAAGTTCTCAAATGCAAAATCAATCTCATCAGCCCAATTTTTTGGTGATCAGAACAAAGCTGATGCTGATGCTCAAGTTTCATTGCAGAAATTCTCTGTATGCCCTCTTGCTACCACTATCTAAATATAATTATTTTTATTTGGTTTAAATTGGCATGTTTCTAGAATTTCATCCCATTTTCTCTTTCTCTGTTTTTTGTGATTTTTCTACTGTTAGTTCATCCTTATCTGCTCCGTCTGTCACTAGATTGAAATTATTGATCATTTTTTGTTCCAACCATAAATTTTGTTATTCAGCCCTGGGTTTTTTCCCCTGTGCTAACATCTAATCTTATTTGGGAAAAAGAACTGTGGTTTTTGGATGACGTGAGTGAGAATTCCAAGTTCTTAACCTTGCATCCCCTTCCCATTCCAAACTCAGGTTCTAGCATGATGGAAAAAGGCCAAAATGATGCAAGTTATATACAAGTGATTTTTGACTGAGAATCACTTAGGCAAGTAGGAGTCGAGTCAACAATGGCTCCTTGGTCTTCCACCTGCTATCTTTCTTATCAAACCTATTCCACATGCCGGGCTTGATGGATCTGCCTCTTTAGCTAGACTACTGTTTCCACATCCCATTGTGTACATCCTAGCTGTTTTAACTGTAATGGGTATCAGCCTGCATATTTCTAATAAAGCCCACAACTCTGCCACATAAAATCTTGCATTTCTTTCTTCTGAAATTTTCCTTAGGGCTGAAGCTTGCAAGTTTCATTCTGTTTCAGGGCTCCTCAGCTATATCAAGTGCTGATCTTTTTGGTCACAACGATGATAACTCTATTGATCTTGCTGCGAGCGACCTCATCAATCGTTTCTCTTTCCAGGTATGCTTCGCATGTTTTGGTGCAACATATTTGAACGAACTTCTGTCAAGTAGGAATCTTTTGGTTTCATTCATTGGTTTTTTTTTTTTTTTGACTATCCTATATTTATCAAAATTTTTCTTCTCTTGTTTACCCTCTCAGGCACAACAAGATATCTCTTCTCTTAAGAATATTGCAGGAGAGACTGGGAAGAAGCTCAGCTCCTTCGCATCAACCTTCATAACTGATCTTCAGGACAGAATCCTCTGAAGTTGATGGGTTTTGTGTTCAAGAATTTCTGAGTTTGCTACATGATCAATATCTCTATGTAGTGGAATGTAAAATGAGTCCATATAAAATTCTTTTTGAAGAAAAATAAAATTAAGACGTTTTCAGGCTTTGACAGATTTGTATTATTATTTTCTAGTACAGGTTTTGGGATCCTTTGTGTTTTAGTTTCTTGGAGTGTACTAAAGAGAGGTAGGAATGGATATCATGGACAATTTATTCTGTTGAAAATGACAAAATCAGCTACTTTGTCATTGGGGTAATGCATGACACGGCTGAGCATTACAGTCCGTTCCAAGGAAACATCAACCAATGCCCGAAGCCTAGTGGCCTAATGTTACTGGTGGTCTGGGATGGCAGTGGGCCGGGTGCCCAGCCCATTAAGTCAATTTTATATCCTATTCATTAAATAATACCATAGCCATTGTCTTATCTATGAAAAATCATTTCTTTATTTCTTTATTCAGTCCACATTCATCATATCATACCTTTTCCGTGCTTGTTTACCTGGTAATTTTTTTTAAAAAAAGTTTTTATTACTGAAATTTGTTTAATTATATTTGTTGAAGTCTAATTTTAATGAAAAAATTTGCTGCTAATTTTACATTTAAATCTTAAGTTCTAAAAGGAATCTATCTTCTTTTTTTTTTTTTTTTTGTCCCTCTCAACTCAATTGATATCATTCTAACTTTGCTTGTTGCAGCTTAATTTTTAATAATTTGTCAGCAATCCTAGTTGCTTGATTTTTTTATTTTTAATAGTCGAGATATCTTTGGATCAAAATTAAAATTAACACAAGGTGACTTTTCCTTTTCATTCCCTTTTCTTAAGAGATTCTTCACTTTTTGGGTGCATCGAATAAGTATTCACATAATAATTTAAACTTCTATTCCTGTTATTTTGTTTAGCTTGAAGATTTTTTTGATAAAAGTTACAAATAGCATATTCTTCCCTATCAATCAAAACTTTTCATAAAGTTCCAAACATTATTATTTAGTTTACGTTTTGGACGAACTAATTGAATATTTTCTGAAATAGTATTTCTTGATGGACTAGAATTGGGAGATTTTTGAATAACTGCGTCATTTTTCTCCATAACTTGATTTGTTGTCTTCATTTTGGGTTGACATCATTTGAAAATTTTACTTCCTATTACAATGAGAGCTCATATAAATGGTTATTGAACTGGACTATGCATGAGAAGTATGCGAGAAAGAATATGAGAAAAAGAAAGTTATTTTTTTTCTTCTAATTTATACTTGTTCGGTCATGTTTTTGGCTTTCCATTTGATTGTACACCAAGTCATTTAACGATGAAACTAGATTTGGAATTTCTAGGTTTCGCTTCACATTTGCATAGTTTGCACAACCTAGTTTACAAGTCTATTTTTGTCCAACATGACTTAGGGATTTGCCGAGTTTATCCACTTCTTTCTTAGCCTAGCAAGCCCCAATGTGAATCAAATGCATAATTATTGATCTGTATCTTTGTAGCTAAGTTACAAAAATAACGAGTTTTCACTTTAAAACCTTCTACCCAGTTAACATTTTGAGACTTACGAAAGAGGTCGTTCCGGACATAGTATACTTTTACTTCTACTAGATTCTAGAGACTAACTATACAAACATATTGCAAAAGTAGTAGCAAGTTTATTTTGGAAGCCTTTGACTCTCTAAGGCAATACCACGACCAATTTATTGCCTTTGACTCTTTAAATCAAATTAATTCAAACTTCGGTCTCGCTATTTTGTTTAGCCCCCAAGATGTATGAAATATAAAATTGTTGTTAAAATGCAGAAATGTGCTAGCCTTTCACTTCTCTCCCATGGTTGTTCTATCTCAAGCTAGCAATTTACTAGTGTTGCAACATAATTTGTGTTTTCTTTTATATTGCAAATAGTAGCATAAAATGGAAGATAATGTTGTTTCTAAACTAGACAGGACGAAAGAATTCCTAACCGAATGAGTACTCTATGACTCCTATATGCATATTCTTTCACCTATTATGTGGGACTCATGGATCGTAAGTGAATTCACATAGTGTCGAGAGGAACGAGGATTGAAGAATTTGAGGATATTCTTGTCCAAGGGCAACATCAATTTGGTTACCCCTTCGTAAGTTTATTTTGCAAAGTAGTTCTTCAACATCTAAATGAATTTGCTTACCCCTACGCAAGTTTATTTTGCAAAAGTAAGCAGCAAGTTTACTTATTGCATTGTAGGTTAATTAGTGGGTTTTGTACTGATATTGGTTAGGGGTATAGCTAAGACAATAAGATGAACTCCCATTACATTAAATATCTACAAATTTATTGGTTGGCATTGCATCGAACAATTGACGTGCAACATAAAATTAGCTTTCTTTTTGTTTAAAATGCACAAATCCCACATTCTCATTTCAAACTTTCCATTGCAACTTTTAATAGGATGCAAATCAATGAAAATGACTTAATATATCTAAGTAAGAAACTCGGGTGCTATTCAAGAAAGAAACTAATCAAGCTCGTTTTCTTATGATAGGCACTCGTAGAGCGGGACCTGGAGCTAGATGCTATTCCCCAATGAAGAAATTGTTGCAATGTTGGTTCGGTGGTGGAAGATTGGAGGTGGTTCGGTGGAGGAGGATGGGAGGTTGTTCATCTATGGAGGAGTGGAGGAGAGGAGGTGGTTCGGTTAGACGATGCTTTGCTTTCTTCTTCTTCTTTCTTTCCCTTTCTTTTGTTTATTTGGTAAAATTTTGTGTTTTTTTTATGTTAATGAGTAAAATATGGATGTTAATAGGATAAAAAGAAGATATTTTTATTTATAAATAAATTATCCATTAACATAAACAAATAATATTATTTTATTTATATTTAACCGATTATCCATTAAGATATTTTAAAAAGATAATTAATGTACGAACCGAACGAGTAGGCGGGGTACCTATTTGTGATTATCAAGGGGTGATCACAGTGTATTTTGGTCATGTTTTGTTGTACATAAAGATAATGATCAACCGTAGAGAGAGGATGGTGCTAAATCTACGTGGAGGAAAAAAATATGAAAAATAGTTGTTTGGATCAAATCCAGTTGTCCGCACAAAGTTTAGATTCCCAATTTGTTGTCTCGGTGTAGTGGTTTTTTCGAGACGTGAAGAGGTCATGGATTTGAATCTTTTCTAGAGGGGAGCAAGCTTATACATGCCATTTGCTTGAGTGGCCATGGTTAGCTTTTCAACTCGAAGTGGTAGTTCATCATTCCATCCTCGTTACGGTGTTACGATCGAGTCATGGCTCAAGGCATAGGCTATTAAGGCCTATGCCTAGGGCCCCCATGAAAAGGAGGCCCCAATTAAAATTTTATCCTAAACCTATACCCATGAAGAATGAGATAAATTAAAAGGTCCAGCCTCCACCTAAGTATGAGACACTATTCTTCTCTCTACTAACAAGTTGAAGGTACTAGAGTTTCTATGTTGAAAGGCTCCCTTTGTTCGGAGATATTATTATTTCAACATTAAAAATTTTATCTTTTTTAGATGTCTTTTCAGTTACTTTCTACTTATAAAAGCTTTCAATTTTTTATTTTAGTGAGACACTTTTACTTACAAAAAAGTTTCAAAAAAATATTTATAAGTGAAACAATATTTAGATCTCCAAATTTTGTTATTATATTCCTTTATTTCTCCAAACAATCAAGGATCTCTTATAAAACCTTTTTTAATTAGCTTGGCGGAAGAATCTAAAGGTAATTTTTTAATTTATGCAAATAAAATTATATATATATATATATAATATTTTATTTTTTTTGAATTTTTTTATTTTCTCGGGTGATTCTCTTTAGATTAACTTGATTAGGTATGGCAAGAAAATATAATTAGGTGCCAAATTTTCTTACTCTTTTTATAATTATATTTTAATTTTATTATTTGAATAAAATATCTACTAAAAAGTATGAATCGGGATATGAAAAACGTAAGAAAAAAGAAAGGTAAAAGAACTAATTCAATCTCAAAAAGGTGCACTTGATGGATTTGTTACTAATATTAAACCCCAAATACTAGAAGAACAAGATAAAGATTTAAATGAAAATATAGTTGAAAATTGTGAAGAAAAATTTGAAGATAACAATTCAAATTCACCAAAAAAGTAATGAAGAATATGATGAAAATTTAGACGATGATGTTTCAATCAATAAAAGTAAAAATATTAATGATGAAGATGCAACAATAATTAAAAATATTTACGATCCAAGCACAATGAAAAAATTTAGACTCAAAACTGATTGATTTATTAGTTGAGAAAGGTCCAATTAGAGAAATTTTAGATTTTTCAAGAGATAAAATTTCTAGACATTTTTCTATAGTTCATTACATTCGAAAATTACCAAACGGAGAAAAATATGATAGAAAATAGCTAGTATATTCAAAGAGTTAGATAAAGTATTTTGTTATTGTTGTAAATTATTTAGTTTGAAATCAAATATTCAATTAGCAAATGAAGGGTGTAGAGATTGGAAAAATCTAAGTGCCAAACTTAAAAGTCATGAGACAAGTAATGAACATGTTATTAATATGAACATTTGGGTTGATGCTCGGATGAGATTGCTTAAAAACAAAACAATTGATAAACATTTACAAGAGAAAATAAATAAAGAGAAAGAGCATTGAAGGAATGTATTATTAAGAATTATTATTGTTGTAAAAGCTCTTTCAAAAAATAATTTGGCATTTCGTGGTACAAATGAGAAGATTTATCATGACAATAATGAAATTTTTTTGAGTTTAATTGAAATGATTGCTCGAGTTTGATCCAATAATGCAAGAACACCTTAGACGTATTCAAAATGGAGATATTCATATGCACTATCTTTGTCATAATATACAAAATGAGTTGATAAATATTTTAGCATTAGAAATGAGAAATACAATTATCAAAAAAATCAAAAAATCAAAATATTTTTCAGTTATACTTGATTGTACTCCGGATGCAATTCATCA